CAGACTTACTGGCAGGATCTTTAGGTAAAATTAAGGAAAGGAAGCCTAAAAAAGAAAAACAAATGCAGCCATCACATCCAAGAATTGGTAAGATGCAGTAAAACCGCTTTCCAGCCCTCCTATTGCAGATTTACTGCTACAGGGCAGCAGCTCTGTGCAGAATCACATAAATATATGTGATTCTGCATTTCCAGGTAGAGGGAGTGCACACACCACCCCCACTTACCTACGCTGTCATTGGTTCCTGTACATGTCTGCACCGTACATGACCTGGCGATCAGCAGAGCAACTGACAGGAGAGAGACCTGTGAATGTAAATACAGATCTCTCTCCTGTCAATGGGAAGGTGCTGGTTTTTAAATCTTCCTGCAAAACAGGGAGAGAAAAACCAGCACATCCTCTAGTCAAACACCGCACAGTAATCACACTCCCTAGCACACAGTTAACCATTTGTTCGCCCCATATGTTAACCCCTTCCTGCCCAGTGCCATTAGTACAGATCACTGTATTAGTGTCACTGGAGATGTTAGTGGCAGTTAGTCAATTTCCACCCATTGTCAGAATGCCCGCCATTAGATCACAGTACCGCTATAAGTTGCTGATCGCTGCCATTACTAGTATATAAAAAAAAGTATTCCAATATCTATCCTATTGTTTGTAGATGCTATCATTTTCACACAAACCAATTAATAAACACTTTTTTTCTACTAAAGTTGTGTAGCACAATACATTTTGGCCTAAATTTATGAAGATTTATTTTTTATTGAATATGTTTTATAACAAAAATTAAAAAATGTTTGTTTTTAATTTTCTGTATTTTTTTTTTCATTTATAGTGATAAAAAAAAAAAAAAAAAATTAAAAAACCCCAGTGGTGATCAAATACCACCAAGAGAAAGCTCTATTTGTGTGAAAAAAAAAAATTATATAAATTGCATTTGTGTCAAAGTAACGCAGCACCACAAAGCAAAAAATGGCCTGGTCATGGGAAGATAAATCTTCTGGAGTGCAAGGGGATAATACATATTTGTTTTGGGGTTTAATACAGCTTTAAGCCATCATTGCAAGAACTGCTTAGTAAAATGTAGGATATTTCACATATAATATGCAATCATCAGTTACAATGCTCTCTGAATGCAATAGGCTCTTTTGATACTATTGCCGTAATGACCGTTCTTACATCCAATATGTGTTAGAAGCAATACACGCAGTCCAAGAAGGAAAAGAATGATGTTGTTTAATCCCGGAGTTGCGTCCAATCACAGCGGGGGGTTTGTAGGGGCACTCTGTGGCTCAGTGAGACTGCTACCATTAACCTCCCGCAGCGCAGAGACGCCAAAAGATTAAACAACACGTGTTTTTTATTATTTTTGGCCCCAACATTTTTTAAAAGTAATACAACAATTTAGGATTAATCATTCCTTGTATGATAAAAATATGTGCAGCTGCTGTACCCTGTTTAAAGGTTAGTTGTATAAAACATTGGATGTTAATGGTCTTAAAGCACAACTCCATATAAAAAAAAAAAAAAAGGAACCACGTCTTTTTCAATTCTCCCTTCCTACCTGCAAAATCTTCTTTTATTATGGATGTCCAGCATTGCAAGTTAAAGGTCACTGCCTTGTGAACAAAAAAAAAAAAAAAAAAAACCACCCAAAAAACACACATTTTGAACTCTTAAAATTTGTCATGCATAAAATAAAAAACATACTTACTAGTAAGTGCAGTTCAGCATGGTTTTGCTTTTAGGCAGGGCTGCTGCTGGAAATCACGGGGTTCTGTACAGCCTACCTGACAGCTCCCCCCCCCCACATTTGGGACTGACTATAAAATTCTTCAGTCCCTTTCTCTGAAGCCTCAGCTGCAATGAACAATGAATGAACGGCAAGCACTTTGAGGCTGTTCTTTCATAAACTAAAGCATAGTATAAACAGTTTACTATGCTTCAGTGACTAATGGACACGGGTGCGATCAGTATCAATCGCTCAATGTGTTCATTCAGAAAAAGAGAGCACCGGTAAATACATCTCCATCCTGAACCCAATCCTCCTGTGTGCTCTCTGCAGCTTCTGTCAGGAGTGGAGAGAAGGGAATCTGGCTGCAATGCGGGGGAAGTGGGGGCTCATAGGTGGGATTGAACAGTAAGTGGAACATGGCACAGATTCCAGAGCGGATCCCCCTGCAGTGCAGCTAGAGGGAAAAGCCAGTAACACTGCAGGGGCAGCCACAAGGCAGTACATCTAGCCCTCCTGCTTGGAAGGTGTCCGGGCCCCCCCTTTGAACTGATAGGTTCTGGGCCCAGTACAAGGAGGGCTGGCTGTACTTCCTTGTAGGAAAAGTTCTCCTGCTGATCAGTGCCCTGATCAGTGTAGATGTCTCCTCTGAAGATTGCTGCTTATTGGCTCTCCTCTCCCTTACGTGCTGTCAGCATGAGGAGAGGACTACCGATAACCAACATTTCCTGTTTGCATGTGATCATCTGTGATTGGACACAGCTGATCACATGGTAAAGAGCCTACGTCATTGGCTCATTACCGTAATTGGTGATCTGCTGTGTCCTAGGGACACATCGCACCAGTGATCGCAGCGCTGCACGCCCCCGGGGCACGCAAGCGCGGCTAGAATGTTATACGACGTTCTCCCAGGACAAGAGAGCTCATTTGTCAATAAAATGCTAAAAGGTCTGCTTTAAAGTATAACTAAAAGAAAACAGGTTTTATTTGGATAAGAGTGGTGATGGGATAGAACTTGTCAGGCTTTTATTGCTGTATCCCCATTACAGAGGTTCACCCTCTCTAACTGTCCTGATCTCCAATGTCCCTAGAAATGAAAGTGAGGGGTAAATGCAAAATTTTGAGTGGCTACCAGAACAGGAAGAGAGGGGAAATTTTCCAATGAGGACACCTGTTCTCTGTCACACCTGTCAAACAGGTGATTTCCTTCACATTGGAAAAATATCTGAAGTGAAGGGAAATCTCCCTAATGAGAGACAGATTCCAAAAAAACTGGCAGCAGCTCTGCTCTGCTCTTTGCCACCACATGTTGTAACAAAAACACACACACTGTCCACAGCATCTGCTGTTGCAATAGTGACTTAAAAGAGCTGCCTGCCTCAATTGCTGCCACGCCCAAACAGAAATGTAACAGTTTACAATATACAGTGGTACCTTGGTTTACGAATGCTTTGGTTAACGTAATTTTCAGTTTATGAATGAAAATAATGCCTTGGTTTGCAAATTCTTTTTCACAATACAAAGTAAGTTTCCGCAGGATACATTGCACCTGGGAGGTTTATAGTATCGCCCCTGTGCATGCTGGAGTCTGCGGGTAGCAAGGGGCATCGAGTGTGGAGGTGTTGGAGTGATTTTTGCATTAAGTTTTGGAGCCATTCTGGAAATTTTCTAACATGTCCCGTTACAGTATTTATGCCTTTAAAGTGCACTTTATAAAGAGTTTTGAACAGATAAAAGACTGGTTAAAATTTTTAAATGATATAAAGTGCAGCGCTAAACCTACAATCCCATATAGAATAATAAATAAATATGTAAAGTGCTAAAAATATGTGCAAAATCTTGGTGCAATATACAATACACTAATAATGTACTCAAAATATCAATATAATAAATATACATAAAATAGTGAATAATTAATACAGTGCAACACGTGTATTCCCACCAGGGATATTTAAAGTGTTAAAAGTGATAACAATAAATAAAATCACTGCAAATATAATTAGAATGAATCCATATGAAACTTAGTGTCCAAACAAGTAAACAAAGAACTCTCAATCTTCATGCATGTGATCAGGTGTCCACACTGTGCAAATCCAAACACTAGCTACAGTGGCCCCTCACCTCCTTGCATAGACCCCACAGGGTCAGCTTGCTTTAAGAAAAAACCTCTGATGAATCACCGGTTCTCTCAGCAGCCTCCTCCTCGGTTCATGTATAGATAGAAACTCACATAGTGTAAAACTGTATTTATTCAATTTACTGCATAAATATACAAAAATGCCCACTCACATTTATATCTCCAATATCAGGCTTCTATACCACATGCTATGAGTCTCCTGCATGGGTATTGTATATAGGGGTTTCACAATATGGCCACCACGCCGGAAATGACGTCACCGCGCTCCCAGAATCCTCCTCGCGTACCGACGCGTTGCGTCACGATAAACACGTGACTTCCTCAGGGTTCAAATTTTTTCTGACCTCAGGAACAGATGAATTGGTTTTCAATGCATTCCTATTGGAAACCGCGTTTCAGTTTACAGATTTTTCACAATACGAAACGTCCTGGTGAACGCATTAAATTCGTAAACCGAGGTACCACTGTAGTGCTTTCATTTCTGGTTAGAGCATTCAGAGATTCAGCCTAACAATTTCTAAATAAATGTTTTAGTGAAAGAAACAAAGTTAAAAAAAATTGACAGAAAAGATTACACAACAAACAACTGTAAAACAAATGGTAGAAAAGTGAAGTCCAAAATTTGATTGTACATTTGAGCTATCAAACTTACTGGCTCTCATAAATGACTGTCACGGTCAGGGGTCAGGCTGGCAAACCAGTAGCTATAGCAGTAGAGAGACTACCAACTGGATAAGTACACAAGCAGGTCACCTGGAGGATGACGCAGGCTCACCCAAGGAGTGGGGTCTAAGCACTAACTGGCATTCACCAGAGTTCCTGAAGGTGGAGATGGGTTTTGCTGTGTGTTAGTACCAGGCTGTGGTCCTTTAGGATTGACCCACCAGGAGGTGAGCAAGTCGGGATCCAGTAACTAATATAGCAGGTAGGGATCAAACAGAAGCGTGGTCATCAAACAAGCCACAGGTTGGTAACAAATGTGTCAGGAATGGACTCGCCAATGGTGGTGGGACTCACCTGCCTTGTGGGCTGCAGTACCAGGGCTGGCCAGCGGGTGCCCTCGGCAGCCAGAAGCTCACTCCTGCAATCAAGTCATCACCTGGGGATGATTGCAGGAGGTGTATTTAAGGAATGGCCAGGCCTGCAGTCAGGGCCTTGGTGTATTGTTCTCATGAGCCCCTGTACCTGCATCCTGTCTGCTTCCTGCCTGATCCTGACTCTGCGTGCACCAGGTCGGCTACTCCTGACCAATCTTCTGCCTACTCCTTGTACCTTGTCTGTCCGTTAGCTACCGACCCGGCCCGCCTGACTATGTTGTGCTCCATATTATATATATATATATATCTATCAGTTAAGGTTTGGGTTTGTTGTACGTATTTGTGTTAGTTTTTGGTTTGGTTTGTTGCACTGCGTTTATGTCTGTGTTGCCTTAATAAATTATATTGTTTTACACGCTATACCTGAAGTCTGTGTTTCCCTGTGTCAGTCCACACACCTCTGGTCATACCTGGAGCCCTGACAAAATGATTGCAGGTAGGGATCAAGAGGAAGAGTAGTTTAGGAACAAGACAAAGTTCAATAACAAAATGGTTGCAGGTTGGGATCCAGCAAAAGCTTAGTTAAAAAACAAGCCAAAATGTCGGTAACAAGCGGTAGTGGAGATAAGGACAGCAGCAGGTATGCAAAGGAGCAAGATATCGTCTGCAGAGAGCATAATAATCTGACAAACAGGGACTACAGAGACATGGCTTAAATCAGGAAGTTCATAGGAGGTGCAAGGAGTTTAAGGTTCACCAGAAACAAGAGACAGGGCAAGACTGTCCATAGAGTTCAGACAGGGAGCTGTCCAGCTTTTCGGGTGGCACAAGGAGAAGAGCTACAGCCAGACACCACAGAGGTCTGTGGACCGTGATAGACTCTTAGCCTTCCTTAATAGTTTATATATACTGTAGGTTAGAGCTTCAAATGCATTCAGACCACCCTATGTAAGGCCTACGTGTGATGCTGAGCTTCCATGATTGAAAACAGTCGAGAAGAGGTTTGTGTGGTTTAATGGTTGAACTGGATGGACTTTTGTCTTTTTTCAGCCAGACTAACTATGTGCGTCTAAACAGTGGTCATTTGCTGCATTTTATATTATATAGATTTAGCGCTTTATAACATTTAGCAGTAATGAATCTTACATAAATGCTTTTTTTATGTAATGATTTTTTATTGATGCAATTGCACTTTAAAGGAATGTGGAATTAATTTTGATCTATTGTACAAGTTAGGGGGTTAAAGGATGCATGTTACAGGTTACACCTATATTTGGCCACCAGCATTCTCCACTCTGTTACAGCGGGAGGGGAATCCTCTTCCCGCACCTACTGTCACAATTTGAAAACGGTGCAGCATTTTGGGGCTTCGTCCACATCATTCATTCACATTTATATGTGAATGAATAAACTAGAAGTACCGCCAACCATTGCAGCTGACCGCTTGCAGTTCTCAATGAACTGTGAGGGTGCTGGTGAGTTCATTGATGCTTCCTGCCATTCAGGAACTGCCTGCCTGTACAAGAGGTAGGGGCAGACAGCCGATTGAGAGTCTGCAGGTTCCTGGCATTGCACTCGTGATCTTCTGATCACGGGTGCATTGCTTTTCAGGCTGCAATGCAAAAAACTAATAAATGCACTTTTTTTTACCTGTAAAAAAATTTGCATTTTATATCTTTTTACAAAAGGTGAACTTAGACTTTAGATCATTTTTCAAGTGCTGTATTATTGGTTGGTCCCTGATTGAAATAACTCCAATGAATGAAAAGGGTGGGTCAAGAACAGTCAAGAAAATCAAAGTTACACTTACGGTAATGCCTTTTCCAGTAGTCTTTTAGGACAGCACCTTGAGAGACCTCGGCTCCTCCCCACCTGAGGAAACACCTCCATCCTAAATAAAAATACAGTCACTCCCCTCCGACCTCAGTTCTTGGCATAGTACCTCCGGTCACCTGGGGAGACATAATATGAGACACAAAAATACTATAAGAAATCTCTCCTAAATATTATACAACAGAGGGTGGGTAACCGGTGCTGTCCTGAAAGACTACTGGAAAAGGCGTTACCGTAAGTGTCACTTTGATTTTCCCCTTTCATCTTTCAGGACAGCACCCTCAGAGGATAGGCGAGTACTCACCCCTAGGGTGGGCCCACTGCTTGCAGCACCTTACGTCCAAAGGCCTGCCCTTGCACCGAGACCAGGTCAAGTCTGTAATGCCTAACAAACATCCCGTAACTGGACCAAGTCGCAGCCCTACAGATCTGACCAGGGGAGGCCCCTGCCTGTTCCGCTTGTGTGGCCGCCATGGCACGTGTAGAATGCACCCTGGTTCCCTCTGGGACCTCTAGATCCTCGGCCCTATAAGCCTGCTCTATTGCTAGTCTCAACCATCTGGCCTCTGTGCGCCTGGAGGCTTTTTGCCCTTTCCTAGCCCCCGCAAAAGAAATAAAAAATGAATCTGTACTACGATATTCCTTAGTCCTCTCCAGGTAAAGGAGTACACACCTTCTTACATCCAACATGTGAAATTTCTCTTCTTTCACCCGAAGGATTAGGGCAAAATGAAGGTAAAATGATATCCTGTCCCATATGAAAATCTAAAGCCACTTTGGGAACAAAGGATGGGTCAGTCCTGAACACCCTATCTGAAAAAATCTGCAAATAAGGCGCTCTGATAGACAGAGCTTCCAGCTCACTCACCCTTCTTGCTGTGGTGATTGCCAAGAATACTGTTTTAAACGTGAGGGCCGTAAGGGAACTGGAACCTAAGGGCTCAAACGGTGGCTCCATTAACACTTTAAGCACCTTCGCCAAATCCCATTTCGGAAAAGGTCTATTTCCCGCCGGTCTCTGTCTTGACAGAGCCCTAAAAAAAAACCTCATGACCAAAGCCTCCTTTGCTAAAGGGGATTCCAGAAACACACTTAGAGCCGATATCTGGCTTCAGAGTGTGCTGATTGCTAGCCCTTTATTGGCCCCCGCCTGCAAAAATTCTAACACCGATACCAGGCTATGGGTATCTGCTGAGACCCTGGAGCACCATCCGTTAAAATACCTCCAACCCTTCCTATAGATGGCTTGGGTTTCCTTCATCCTACTAGTTAGGAGTGTGGACACCACCCTGGCTGAGAATCCCTTTGCTAGCAGGAGTTGTTCCTCAGAAACCACGCCGTCAGTTTCCATCTCTCCACCCTGGGACATAGGACCGGGCCCTGCGATAGCAAGTCCTTCCGTAGCGGCAACACCCAAGGTGGCCGAATAGCTAAGGTTTTCAACGCTGAGAACCACGCTCGACGGGGCCAATACGGACCTATCAAGATCAGAGAGGTTCTTTCCGTTCTGAACTTCCTTAACACTGGCGACAGTAAGATGACCGGGGGAAAAGCGTAACACGGGGAAATCCAACTTTTGCGCTAACGCATCCACCACCTGAGCCCCGTCCCACCGGTTTAGTGAGAAGAAACTCGAGACTTTGTTGTTTCGACCCGACACAAATAGGTCTATGTCTGGGGATCCCCATTTTCTTACTATGGATTGGTAAACCTCCCCATTGAGAACCCACTTCAACTCTCTCAATTGCCGTCTGCTTAGATAATCGGCCACCTGATTCAATTTCTCTTTTAGGTGGACGGCCGATAAGGAGGCGAGATTCACCTCCGCCCATGACAGAAGCACCACCGTCAGAACCCAGAGGGACTTGCTTGTCTGTTCACATAGGCCACTACCGTCGCATTGTCCGAAAGGATGCGGACATGATGGCCCCCAATCAAACCCTGAAAGGAATGAAGTGCTTCCCAAACAGCCCTTAGCTCCTTCCAGCTTGAGGATTCCCCAATTTCTTCTCGAGACCACGTGCCCTGTACCACCGACTCCCCCAGGTGCGCCCCCCATCCCTGGGCGCTTGCGTCTGTCAAGATCTCCCTGATCACCGGAAAACTCCACAGTAGCCCCTGAGATACGTTGGCTGTCTTCCTCCACCACCAAAGGAATCTCTTTACCTTGGAGGGAATCCGCACCCGGGAATCTAATGACCGCTGTTGCCGGTCCCAAATGCTCAAAATGAACAGTTGCAGGGCACATAGATGCAACCCCGCCCACTGTACCGCTGGAATGGATGAGCTTAATAGCCCTAACACTGACATGCCTCAAAGATATTCCCCCCCTTTCCAGTAGCCGCCTGATCCCCCCCCCCCGTCCAACTTGTTGAGCTTCTCCGGGGGGGTTAGCAAAGACTTTTGACAGGCGGAGTCCAGTATATACCCCAGATAAGTCATCCTTTGGGATGGAATAAGACTGGACATGTCTAGGTTCAGCAGCCATCCCAAGCTCTCCAGATGGCTCCTCACCACCGCTATGTCCTGCACAAGCTAATCCTCCGAGCTTGCGAACAAGAGAAGATCATCTAAATGGGCTACTACTGAAATTCCCTTCAACTGAAGAGGAACCAGCACTTTGGACATAACCTTGGTGAAGATCCTTGGTGGAGGATAGTCCGAAGGGCAAGGCCCGGAACTGTAGGTGACACGTCCCTCCTAGACTCTGCACCGCTAGCCTGAGAAATTTCTGAAATGCCTCCGCGATGGGTATGTGCAGATAGGCATCTTTCAAATCAATTGAGGCTAGGAAGGCCCCGGTGGAAGCAGGGCTCTGACTGTGAAAATTTAGTCCATCCGAAACTTTTTGTATCGGATGGTCTCGTTCAGGGGTTTCAAATTTAGAATTAATCTGTACGCCCCCGAAGGTTTCTGGACCACGAACACATGTGAGTAGAAACCCTCCCCTATTTCTGCCTTGGGGACTCTTACTACAACCTTTTGTTCCTCCAACTCCCGTAGAGAGGCCAGTAAGGCCGAAGCCTTCTGTGGACATCTGGGCAGGCTTGTCACCAATAGCCTTCGCGGTGGTGGCCTCGAGAACTCCAGGCGGTACCCCCTTCTCATGATGTCCAAAACGAAGGGGCTAGAGACCTCCGCTTCCCACCGTGGGAGGAAGACCCCCAATCTTCCTCCCACTAGGGGAATAGAGTCACCACGGCTTCTGGGGCTGCTCAGGAGGATGGAATATTGCTCCTCCTTTGCCCCTCCCTCTCTGCCCCCATGTCCTCCCCTGAACTTCTGGTCTAGGGGTCTGTCTCTTTGGGGACGAAACTTCCTTCCCCCTTGATCCTGCATTTTCCGCATCAGGGGAAAGGACTTCTTCCTGTCCGCCATGCGGTCTAACACAGTTTCTAGCCCTGGCCCAAACAGATTACCTGAAAACGGGATGCCACATAACTTCACCTTAGAAGCGATATCCCCCTGCCATGTTTTTAGCCAAAGGGCCCTACGGGCTGAGTTGGTCAGGGCCGCCGACCTTGCCAACAACCTCACCGACTCTGCTGAAGCATCCGCAATGTGCCCCGCCCCCTGCAATAACGTTTCAAACAAC